AAGCATCATGATCAACACCTTCTTTCAGTAACTATCCCCAACGATAGACCTGCTGCCGCACAAATGTTCACCATTCTAACTGTAGAATGACTATTCATATATTCTTCACAGTTTCCTTTTGTTGACTCTTCATATCAGTTGAACTGCTACTTAGTGTCGTGATGATACTTCGCACACAGCTAATTTATTTACAGTTAATGAGTACCAACCAATACAGTTTTAGTTCCAAACATCAGTATTCGGTATCAATGTCGGTTACCAGGTTACCAGGTTACCAGGTTACCAGGTTACCAGGTTACCAGGTTACTAGGTTCGCAATACCTTGCGGACAGTATTGATTTCGAACCTTTTCGTTAAAAGACTTCTGTATGCATTTCGATTAAGCCAGATGAAATGTTGTTGTTTGTAGTGTCACCAGGATAGCTTCCAAAACTATCAGGATCTGACCCATCGCTTGAACTCACACTGCCAGTTATACCACCATTGCATTCCTCTTCCAATATGGGGATTTCCGCCTCGTAACACTGTTGGAATGTACATTCTGACATGCAGCCGAACCGCTGTCCAAGAAAGGCTAGCACGGCCAGTAAAACTGATAGAACAAGCATGGCAATCATTAGTTCTGATATCTCTGACGACTTCATGATGACGTGATGTCTAGAAATTCTAGTTTGTCAGTTTTTATACTGAACGGGTCGGGATTAACAATGTGTGTCTACGGGAAAAAAAGGATAGCTGATATTATCAAGGCTCCAGATTGGCTTCGTTGACTCTAGCCCAGCTTAGATGATGGTAGTTTCATGAAAAACATCCCGTTTTCATCGTATTTGCACTGTAATTGAAGTGTGTTTTACAATTTACAATTATGTTATTAACTTCAGTTTCGTTGTTGACAAATTTCTAATGGTTCATGAATCATGACGTCCTGCCCTAAAACACTTTTTTGACTGTAATCTTGACCCTTACCCTTACCCTTACCCTTACCCTTACCCTTACCCTTACCCTTACCCTTACCCTTACCTTACCCTTACCCTTACCCTTACCCTTACCTTACCCTTACCTTACCCTTACTCTTACCCTTACCCTTGTACCCAGCTCCCATCATAACCCTCGCCCTAACTCCACTTTGGCTCAAGGCTCTGGGGCAGGACAACGGTAAATCTCTCCAATTAAGAATTGGGTAATCAAATCGGATGACATATGATCTGAAACAAACAATTGACTCGTTAGTAATAAATAATAATCAAACAATGCTTGACTTGATGTGGTACTGATAAATTAAAATTAATAAACAATTCTCAGCTCTGAGTCTCTTACATATAAGCAGAAAAGGGCGTATAAGTGAAACAGTACGTCATTGTGGCAATGGGCACCAGCGGCTACCACACTAAACGGTTGATTTGTGTTTGTATGAATCCCTGTCCGGTCGCTGCGAAACAAAGAAACGTTTTTCTATGGAAATGAAGTAGTATTGTTCGGACCCTGTTTAGGACATGAAAGAAGCGGCCCGGCATGTTTTGCATGATATTACAGGGGGGCCAAAAGTCAGTGTGCAAACGTTGGGACTTATACCTCCGCCGTGTTTCATATTTGAGAGTTGTTGCTTTGCAGATGGCATACTGTACTAATTACCATACTGTTCGAGGATTCCGTCGCCAAAATTTGTGACTGAGCTATTAAGGCCAACGTTTGCACACTGACTTTTCCCCCCCCCCCCATCCCCCTATGTACATTTGTACACTTACAAGTGACCTCAATTTCGTCTCTTGACTCTTGTCTATTGTCAAGGAATAGTAATACAAGAAAGCGGGGTTATATGGGTCACATTATGTCGATCAGGTAAAATTTCTAGACAAGAATATGAGATCTGCTGCTTCAAATTGGAAAATTGAAACTCGAAAAGAAAACGATGAACATATTCGAATCAAATTATATACAGTAGCATATCAAAATAGTTAATGTTTTATTTGGCAGCTGCACCGCTGCAGTCTGCACACGTAACAGTTGCGAGTCGTCCCTAGCATTATGTGCCTATGTCTCAACCGATGTAAAATACAATTAACGATTATAACGAATCGAAGATCTATCTTAGAAGAATGGCGCAGTAAATATTATATCGGATTACATCGGCACAGTAAATGGAGGTTATCGCTGTCAAGAATAAGGGTACAGTCAAACCTCTCTCTATACTGAGCCTCTCTTTACCGGGGTACCTCGATATACCGGGCCTCTCTTTACCGGGGTACCTCGATATACCGGGCCTCTTCTTTCCCCAGAGTTAAAGTTGTACAAGCTGGTAAACCAAGAAGAACAATTGGGGTATGCAGGTAGCCCTGGTGGGTGCATAATCTTGCTTACGGTCTGCTCTCCCTAAGATAAGCCAGCATATCTATTGTAGTTCGTACCGTGTAGCTTAATTTCTAGTTTATATAGATAAGATGCCAGAGCATGTTTACTAATCTTAATATACTTAACTACTCAATTAGTTGTCCAAGTCACCATGATGCCCCTCCTACATTGCTGAATAATGGAATAATTTTAATGTCCCATAAAATTGTTGCTATAATTGATTGAAATAAAAAATTTCACGAAAAATTTTCTATGCGCCAATAATTATGACACCCTGCTGTATATCGCATTTGGTGGCGACTTGAGTAACAATTCGGCATTCCATCACAATGTGCGCATGTAAGAGCCTAATGGGGTGTATATGGGGTAGACGCTTGACAGATTTTGCGGTCATGAATATTAATGTTTCCCCCGAGATGCCAGGTATAGAGAGGCTTCACAATACTAAGGTAGTCTCTGATAATGTTAACTTTCTTACTGACCAGTGACCATTAAATAATGTAAGAACCTTTCAAATTATCATTTAGATTAGGTAACGGTATATTCAACAGAGAATATCCGTTTACCCCTTGCAGCCAGGAGGAGTGTTTGGAAACTTGTACAGAAAGCCATCAAGCTCTGCCCTGAACAGTTGAACTTGTTCGAGGTCGAGATCATCTTTATTTCAGGAGGTATGAAATTGTTCGATGCAGAGTTTGAGAATGAAAATGAATCTCACCGTGTTGCTGGAGAGAGGGTTTCTTGAAGCATATAAATGATACAAAAGGTTTTATTAGCAGGAGCTTTCAAAATACAAATGTATGTTATTGTCTTCAGCTGTTGATGATGTTGCAGTTGCCAAGAGGTCGTGGACATGTATGATGTAGTATTAGTAGCATGATGTAACACTTCGTCTTACGGAGTGTCAGACGTTTCTGCTGTTTGGGATGACACAGTGGTTCTGGTAAATAATAAGTCCCTTGTTATTGATAAGCTCCGAAGAACGGCATCACCAATACCCTCCATAACATCACCGCTTCTAGCCAAACCAACACTGCAGCAGGATCCGACTATATTTATTAGTTTTAAGAAGTATCCTTGCTTCCAGAATTCGTAGATTATAGCAAGCATCACCATCATCAGTACTGAAGAGAGAGCAAGCAGTAAGATAACCTCTTGTTGATCCATTGGGGAATACGACTGATGAACAGTTATGAAATAGGATCAGATCTATGCGAACAGCTGAAATATAGCAGACTCTAAGTGAGTGAGCTGGATCGTTCCCACGGTTGCTTGCATCGTGTTTTGTGTAGATAATGAAATTATTAACAGTATTGTGCGACAACTGCCATCTGTCGAGTGAGCACCACTTTATATCCACACTTTCTTTGCATTGATTATTCTTAGGCATTCATACTAAGTGGTAGGCGTATGTATAGTATAGTATAGTATAATACTATGTTTACAGTACACTGCAATGTAGATGTACTGAAAAGGTATCCTGAAGGATTCTTGTTCTTTTGGCCCGGGCCCTCCTCATTTAATCCTCAATCACCGTTTTCCGATCATCCGACTGAGTCAGTCAACCGAGGAGACATTACACAGATGTGTAACTTTGCATATCACGTGACGTCATTATGTTGTCACGTGACGTCATAATGTCGTCACAACATCCACACATAGATCCAACGGACCCTTAGCTATCTCCTTAGACTAGGTATTACTGTAGTATTGAGGGCAAACGCTAAGACAAATGTAGGCTGGATTTTACTTGACTTATCAGCTTTGAGAAGTAACCTTGCTTCCAGAATTCGTAGATTATAGCAAGTAACACCATCGTCAGTACCGAAGAAAGAGCAAGAATTAAGATAACCTCTTGTTGATCCATTGGGGGAGACGACTCATGCATATTGCATAGTTATTAGTTATGATATTGTATCAGATTTATGCGAACAGCTGAAAGCGAAAGGTAGCAGGTTACAGAAGAGTGATCTGAATCGGTCCCACGTTTGCGGCTTATTTTTCATCAATTACTTGCATTATGTTTCGTGTAGATAATGAAATTATTAACAGTATTGTGCGACAACTGCAATCTGCCCAGTGAGCACTTCCCACCCACACTTTCTTTGCATTGATTATTCTTAGGCATTCATACTAAGTGGTAGGCGTATGTATAGTATATAGTATAATACTATGTTTACAGTACACTACAATGTAGATGTACTGAAAAGGTATCCTAAGAATATTCTTGACCCGTTGGCCCTTGCCCTCCTCATTTAATCCTCAGTCAGTGAATCGAGGAGACATTACACAGATGTGTAACTTTGCATAGATCCAATGGATCCTTAGATATATCCTTAGACTAGGTATTACTGTAGTATTGAGGGTAAACACTAAGACAGATGTACATGTATAGACTATAGAATTAGACTTAGAATTGTCACAAAAGTACTCGTGCATGGCGTGACCGCGGTGGATTTAAAGTTCGATCAGTTGTACAGTAGATCAATATTTTTCGGAAAACGGGTGAAAGGATTATCTCCATGTCATTTCTATTGTTTAAAATAAAACGTTATAAAATGGTGACCCTGTTTCCCGTTAAATTTATTTCCAAACTAAAACTTGAACTACTTAATTAATTAACAATTAATTAATCAAATATTAAACTTCAGATTGGTAAGAGCGCTCACCAAACACGGTGACCTGCTCCCCTCCCTCCACACTGCTCTCAAATTCCTGAACTTGGAACAGGGAGAACTACCAGTTCCTCTTCAACCCCTGAGAAACGATGTGCTCCTACTCAAGGACCTGGCTGAACTTAATGTGGACAAGTGGAAATAGAATTTATTCTCCGAATGTTGATTGTTGGGGTTGTTATGAGTTGTTTCGGGGTTTTTGTTGGGGGGGGGGGGGGGGGGCGACTTTATTTATTTGTTTGCAGGACCTGCGAAGTACTGATAAGTCTTGTTGATTCTGTTTTATGTATTAAGTTATCTGTTATATAACCTTTTTTTTCGATAACTGTTTTAGTATCTTTTCATTTGATTTGAAAGATATTATTTTACTTTTAGACTTTTTTATTTAAAGACATTCGAACTCATTATATTACTTTTTAATCAATATACAAAATCTTTTTAGTCGATTTTTATTATGGCATTCTTTTAATGCTCTAACACCATGTAGTACATTTTGTTTATAATAGTTGATCAATTTTCATGATCTTAGCATAGAAACATTCTGAATGATCATCATAATATGTAACAATTATCTTCCTAAGAATCTTTAGTGCACTTATAGTAATTTATTAAATTTGCTAAGCGTTCATGTGTTTCATTTTAGAAGTGAGATATTATATAGATATAAGGTATATTCATGTCATAAATGTATTATGGCAGTTCAATAAATCGTATTTGTATTTTGAAAATATAATCTTGCTATGGTATTTTAAAACAGAGCGATTATTGATATATTACTGCTTTTTACATAGTAACAATTAATAATTTGGACGACTAATTTATCTGTTATATCCCAATTAGTAGTGTAGGATGGTGCGGGATCGGAAGGTGTGGAGCACGGATCCAAATGGAGAAGTCTGGGCCAGAGGTTTACAATTTGTACTCTCATTTACGATTATTATGTCATTGAGTTTGAATGAGACCGATTTATGCAAGCATGAAACACTGAACTTACCTTGAAAATCCCTATCTCGTCGAATTGATCTTTCTTTCAAAATTTCGTAATTTTTGTAAATTTCTACCTAAACTAATTTATCCCTCAGACGAAAACAAGTTTGGTAAGAAGATGCTAGAGAAGATGGGATGGTCGGATGGGAAGGGTCTCGGGGCTGAATTATCGGGGGAAACCTCGCATGTTAAAGTCAACAAGAGAGCCGTCCATTTAGGTGTGATTTTAGTGACAAGTTAGCTGTAGTTTTAAGTTCGTACTTAGCTCAGATGGATGAAAATATATCCATGTTGTTTTGACCCAGATGTAGGTTTTTTGTACTAATGTTTTAGTCTCACATAGTTCTTCTCTTCAGGACTGGGAGCTGACGCAGGTACCCCCGACCGCTGGACAGAACACATATCTGAGTTCGACGACATCCTCTCCAATCTTAACAGTGCGTTTTTAACGAGCTTGTCATTGCATTGTTGAAGAGGAACTATGTTTTTAATAAATTTATGGTATGCAGTTAAGATCCATTTTCTTACTTCTAACAATTCTTAATTATGTTAGACACGAAGACAGCCAGCGTACCAAATAGTGGCCCAAACAGTGCTGTAACCTCCGAACAGAATAGTGATGTGAACTCTGAACAGGATGAACCAGCAGCGGCAGCAGTAAAAGAGACCAGCGGTAAAAGAAAGAAGCGGAAAAAGGCCAAAGATTTGTAAGTGTTAGCATCTTATCGGTGAAATCCAACCCAAAAGTTTGCATGGCCACTATTTTGATTATTTTTGCTGGTACTTAACATTCCTATGTTTAGGTACACTAAGTTCAAGAAGCACAAGAACTTGGGTTCCCTGTCAAATCAGGACATGGCTCACATCTTTGGCGAAACTAAAAAGGTCAGTACCAGGAAATCTATTTTGCCCTATAAATTGAGCACTTAACCACGTGTATAATTATTGCTTGTAGTTGTAGGGATTGAGAAGTTTGTAAATTGAAATAGATAATTATCACTGGGTCACACCGACATTTTTGCAATTTTTGCAATCTAATTTTTACACGTCCTTCAGGAATCTTCAGAGTCACAAAAAGACGGAGAATCTTCAGCCGGCTTGCCCGTGGAGGGGCTCAAAACCATCACCTCAAAGATGAGCATGGCAGAGTATTTCAACTCCAAGAAAGCGACTAAATCCGACAGCAGCAAAGCTACTGAGGCTACTGAGGCTAATGAGGCTAATGAGGATGCAAGCGGTTTTAAATTCAGTTTTTACAATACTCCAGATAATGTACAAGTACAACCTGTACTACCTGAGGCAGTACTTGACACATGTTCACTTATCGACGGCGTGCACCCTTCGCGTAAGGGATTTGAAACGTGTAGCAAAGAAGGACTGGGTGATTCAAACAGCCAAAGCAAGATTGATTTGAAATTAAAGGTTAAGAAGCGAAAAAGGACGACAAAATAATTTACCACATTTTATTTTATCCTTGGGACTTTTTAACTTAAAGTTAGATTTATAGTTATATTCTTGAATTTGATTTAAACGAAGACTTGGGGAGCGTTTTTACATATAAATATCTACATATCCAAAGAATTTGAGATTGTTCTCATAAATTTTAATTAGTTCTTTTACCATTCTGTCACCTCAAATTTAATGCACTTTTATTCTTCTTGAATTCGTTAAGAATTTCTTGTTGTTAGGGTGTAGGGGTCGTTCACATATTTATATTACAGATGTGTGTAAAACTGATTTCGGAGGAGAAGGGGGTTAAAAATTGTGAATGGTCCTACCGTTGTAGGTTTACAACCTACCAGGACGCGCGCCGAGTTGGACTCGTCGACGGTCCTGATATATGGAACAGATATTTTACGAGTATCACCCGTTAAGTCCTACCGGAGTGGGAATTCAAAATTGGCACTAAATCACCTGACGAGGGTGCTGACTGTTACATGGGGACTTGGAGGACTTCGACGCGCCGCGCGAACTGGCATTCTTCATTCTTGCTTCGTCGATCGTTGGGTTGACATCGTCAATCAACATGGGGACCTCAGGCTATCATGTTCATAAACGCCGAATAGAGATTCGGTGGAATGACAGGCTGAGCGCGACCCAGTAAGCTGACTGCTGCGGGTCGGATATGATAATAACGTTACGCCACTCTCTGGCAAGGAGTAAGCTTGATTCACGATGTCAATCCTTCGCAGCTCGGTGAGGCCCATGAGTGGTGCATCTCGCCGATCTACCGAAGGTTGCGAGAAGAATTATTTAATGCGCGGCGCCGTATATATTGTATATATAGCATAGTAGTGGCAGTGCATCGCGCTACAAAAGGAGTACATACGGTTAATTGACGATTTCAATTCTTCGCAGCTCGGCGAGGCCGAGGCCCAATAGCGCATTTCGCCGATCAAGCGAGATCTGTCGATCTAGCGAGATCTGTCGTTGCATTGCGAGAAGCATAATTGAGTGCGCGGCACAGTAACGCATCTCATTCTCGCTTAATTGACGATGTCAATTCATCTCGGCACAGTATAGCGCATCTCGCTACAAATTCTCGCTACAATACATACGGTTAAACAGTTCCTGTCACTGTTTTTAGTTTATATCTGTTTGTTACGAATGCAATTGATTTGGAACTTCATGAATCGTGAAATGAAAATTTAAAATTACTAAGATTTTCCTTGAAACGAATGGTATAACAGGTTGACGGATATTACTCGTCTAAATTTCTTCGAAGTAGCGCGCGCCTTAACGGTTGATACTCGTAAAATATCTGTTCGGCGCGCGTCTTGTATCACGTGGTGACCCCCACGGTCGCTTCACTATAGTAGCGTCTTCGACGCTACAGGGGGAGCCGCGCACTTCGTGCGCGGCGGGTCATACAACGTATGACAACGCGCGTCCTGGTAGGTTGTAAACCTACAACGCGCGCCGCTTTCTTCTCGATGGCACGTGTTGTAGCGCGATGCGTTACTGTGCCGCGCCGCGCACTCAATGAGGGTTCTCACAGCGATGAGGGTTCTCTGGCTAGATCGGCGAGATGCGCTACTGTGCCGCGCCGCCACGAATTGACATCGTCAATTAATGGCACGTGCTACCACGTAGCGCGCGCCGGGCCAGATAATTAACAATGGTCAATATAACAGGTTGCATCAACAAAATATTGGAGAAATAATTACACAATATAATCGTGGCCGAACTTGAACCGAAAATGCAATCAATTCAATTACAACTACAACTCACATTTCATCATATCTACGAAATAAAACATCTCCACAATTTACCAAAATTAAATAACCCTTTTTACTTCACAGACATGGGATATTTAATTTTATTATTAACCCGTATATCGTTAATATAATACCAGTCGAAAAGTTAGTCGAATCGAGCGTCACCCTGTCTTTTCTTGATACAAGTCGTATACCTCTCTTGGCGGCCGAAGTAAGAGGTGTATCAAGTCTTTCCCCACGCTTTTAGTTTGTCCATATAGTGATTGGCAAGTGATGGATAAACAAGAAGAATTGTATAAAATCTACCCTCATTAATTCACTTGTCGATCATTATCTGGAAAAAAACAAAGGCGGAAAATGGCGGGGTCAACGTTAAATCCGACCGAAGCATCTCGAATTAACGATGTGCACTCTTACTTGAAGTTGACACACATTCGTTTCCTAAAATTCTTACTGTCTGCCCAAAATTTTCATTGCCTGTCTAAAATTTTTGTTGTCCGACTCAAATCTGATACCTTTTATTTTCAGATACCCCTGCATTCTGCATGCTAACAAAATGGCCGCCTAAATTCTAAATTATGATTTGTTAAGTATTCCCAGTATTAATATTACAGTATTAGTATCATTATATGTACCAACAGTGCAGCTAGAAGTAGACTGTGAATAGAATTATTCGTGGTGCGCAGAAGCTTCTAGATTTAGTAACAAAATCTAGTATAAAGCTAGTGAACCGACTCAGCCTCATTTTAAAAGACGAACATTCATAAGTTTATTGAGCTATTAGTTGACATGTAAAACACATGTACAAACGAATTGAATCGAAAAGCGAAGGACTTAAGAGAGATCAATTGTAACTTGCATGGGTATCGGAAACAACTATTAACAATTGTTCTCTAACTGTACGTATAAACGTAAATATTACGCCTTAAACTAACTCTTTGCATAAAAATCAATTTGACCGTGATGTCAACTCCCTAATCTTCGTCTAAAAATGACGGAAAAACATCCTACGCTATGGTATAGTGACGCCCAATCAGTTGACCCACAATTTTGTTCGGAGGAGGGGGATTGCCCCCATAGAAATCAGAATGGAAGAGAATTTCAATTTAGGATGAGGCATCACTATTACAGAAAAGTGTTATATTTCACTAAAGCATGCAAATTGAAAATTCCATCATATCTGTAACATAAAATCACCTAAACAAATACTTCAAATTATATATAATCGGCACATTTCCCGAAAGATCCCAGAAAAACTAGACATCTGAAAAACGATTCAAAACAGAACCCAACGAAATGAGAATTCAAAACAAGCTTTGCAACTTAGCTGACACCTAGCCTTTTTAACACAAAATTAGCGATCGCACACAATGAAGTTAATCATAATGTGTATCAGCAAAAACTTTGATTAATTAAAGTTATCGTTGATTAATTTTTGTGATTCTGTTCACTTTTTCTTTTAGTTTTGGGCAACGTGACAGCTTATCATATTTCAGGAATCTCAACCAGCCAACCCACAAAATTACAAACAAAGAATGATTTAATAATTTTACAGAGAACCGAAATTCAAATCATCCACTCACCAGTCACCACACTCCCTTTCAGCTTAAAACAAATTCCCGCAGTATTTTAATCAAAGAAAATCTTGATATCCGACTAATCAGCTTATCAAAGCCAAAACCCAACTAAGGATTCAGATATGATATCTTGTCATGACAAGCCGTTAGTTTCATTAGGCTGTTCAATGGTAACGTCACGTGAGGGCGATAAAGTCACGTGAGGGCGATGACGTCACGTGAGGGCGATGACGTCACGTGCCCTGGACTGGTAGCACAGCTTCCTAAATCACGGTGAGCTAAATCCCGTATGAGGGAGGCATCCTAAGTGACCGATCTCCCAGAACTATTGAAACTGTTCATCGCTACCTGAAAGTGAAAGTGAAACCGAATATGAAATGAGATAAATTTAAATTCAGTACTATTTTCTTTGGATTTGTCATCGGGAAATCGCACGGCAAAAGTTTCTAGAATATCACTCGCAACTTCCCATGCTGCATAGTAAGCTTCAGCTGAGATTACCCTTGACTTGTACCGCTTGATACTAGGAATGATTTACGTACTCTAGTTCGAGACGCACTCTAGTTCGAGACGCACTCTAGTTCGAGACGCACTCTAGTTCGATACGCACTCTAGTTCGACAACTAAGTTCGCCAGAAACCACCCCTGTCGAACTTCGGTAATCGGTATGACGTGTCAAACTAAAATCCAGTTAGCGTACTCTTGTAGTGATCAATTGTCTCAATCAGCCCCCATTGAGATTACATCACGCATAGTTGAGCATGAAATAAGTCGAAAACAAACGAACGAATAGACTTCAAGTTCGTAAAGGAACGTCGCTTGAGGTCTGAGATTTCGAAACTCTAGTTAGACAGTCGAAGTTCTCTTGTCGAACTATAGTACGTGTCGAACTAGAGTACGTGTCGAACTAGAGTGCGTGTCAAACTAGAGTACGTGTCGAACTAGAGTGCGTGTCGAACTAGAGTGCGTGTCGAACTAGAGTACATGTCGAAGTAGAGTGCGTGTACCACTAGAATTACTATTAGCTGAGAGATTATTTTGACACGTGACCGGTGACAATGACTCTGGGATTAAATTTTTCGATACTGCAAGCAGAATTTTCAACATACCGCCTCTCTATCAGATCTCTGCGCGGATATTTACCGACTAAATTTAGCAATGAATCTTACAACATCACTATTATAAAGTGAAAAGTTTGTACACCAAATCAGCAAACAAAGTAACATAAACAGAATAAATTATAGGATGTTAGATTATTATCCCAAGTAATAGTGTCATGCTAAAATCTAAATTTTGGTTTCCCATTCACCAAGCTACAGTCTACATTTTATATTAAGGTCTACGTGTTGCTGAGTTATAAATATACCAAGTTCTTGTTGATTACTTCAGAGTATTTGAGATCATTCGAATTTTACGCCTCGAAATACAGCTGAGAAAATCATGGCAGACATATTTTGACAAGCTGCAGCAGTACACAGATAGTTTTGCGACAAATTTGACATTCCATTCCAAAAAGACATGTTTACCATTTCAAATGTGTTTCTACATGATTCGTCCGGAGGGTAATTCGTCTTCAACCCAAACGTAACCTAGACAGATTGGAATTAGACATACCTAGGACAACTCAGTGAGTTAAATTCAAAGTTAAACTTTAGATGAGGCGTTTGTCTAAGTTCACATATTGATGAGGCTAAAAATAAACCCCACTCGGACAAAAATTCTTCTTTTGAATGATAGTAATTCGGGTGTTCAAAAGCAAGTTTTTGATGAAGACGCTTGCAAAAAGCGTAAGAAATAAGTTCCAGGATCTTATCCAAATGGATCTCATCCAAATGTACAAATAAATCTGTTTCCGTTTTACAATTACGGTGATGTGGAAATCAAATGTTCACAAAATCGCGGTAAAAATACAGGTTTGCTAAATTATTATACAACCCTCTTATCTTGTTTTTCCCAGTGATCACGTCAAGACACTCCAAATAATTACGGCACAAAAAAATCGAACATAATCTCACACACGATTACTGTAGCCATTGACCATTCAAACCTTACTATGCTTACGGCGCATTCTATTGCGAAGCATTGCTGACAAGGACCAACTAGGAACAGAAGGCTGTTCATTATTCTCGATGTAAGCCAGGGTTTGCTGGAAACACATAAAACTTGAAGTTCAACTATGAAATTATTCTTGGCAGTATTCAAGTAGCACAGCTGCCCGCGGACAGGGTCGAGCTACTCGGATACTGCCTTATTATTTATTCAATTTAGGCAATGATGTTGTTTCATGTCTGTATAATTTAGGTGATAGTACAGATGATCCCAGGTCTCAGTATTAATCGTATAAATGCACCGTCTTCAAAGCGCCAACACATCTTCAACTCCAAGTTAAGATTCTTTCGATATGGACAGTGCTTACGATTACTTAGTTCTGAGCCAGTCTGTTTTTCATTAAAATATCCAATACTTATACATAAAAGCTGTCCATAGTCAACTTCTACAAAAACAACAATTCCCATGTATAATGTATAGTATACATTGTATAATGTATAGTATACATTGTATAATGCATAGTATATATTGTATAATGTAGTACATTGTATAATGTATAGTATACATTGTATAATGTAGTACATTGTATAATGTATAGTATACATTGTATAATGTATACTTAACAACCCCATACAACACACTAACAACTGAGAAGGTAAAGATGGGGAGCAGAAGAGACACGGGGAGCAGAAGAGACACGTACCTTAGAGACGCTGTCGGCTAACTGTCCGATAACCGTGCTCCAGGAAGAGGTACAGGTTGGGGTTATCGTCCCTTTACTCACCAGGTACGCGAACGCCTGCGGAGGAGGGGAAGTGTTACAACAAGACTTTGCTTCTATGCAAGGCAATACTCAATAGTTTAGTCGCGTAATAGGTATTGTCACGTCGCGCAGCTACTAACTTCACAAAGAATAATTTACATGTAAATAAGCAATTCTTGATATCAAGCCCATCTCCTTCCTCGAAAAAATTAGCTAGTTCAGTAAATAATCATCGTCTAATTTATATAAAATTAGCATCAACTAACTAACTAACTAACATATCACTGATTTGAAAGTGAAGACGTTACCTCGCCAAAGTACTGGTAGACGCTATCGAGTTTTTGGAGTCTCTTTGACTCCATTATCTTGTCCAAGTGGTTCTCCTTCTGGAGGGATCCAGATACCATCAGCCAGCTATCTATGGAAGAGTTGCTGCCTCGATAGTTCTGAAAATATTCAGCATCACACTCACGCTTTTGTACGTCGTGCATGATAGCCAATCATTCAATCATTGATATCATTGCAAACTTTTAAATGGAGCCTCAAGAGAAGCCCTTTATAATTTATATCCATTAAATTTATAATTACACAATGCCCCGGTTTATCACATCAGAAAGGGAAAGCTAAGAGGGCAATAGGACCGGGGGGGGGGGGGGGGGGGGGGCGAACCTGTCCAGAGTCTGTACCCTCGCCCTGTTCTGGTGCGTGCTGAGTTTCATGGGGTAGAAAGGTGTTATCGTAGGAGGACCCGTTACTGCTAGCTTCCCCGTTCGTCGCTATGGGAACAGAATTACCGCACGAACCACAGTTACCGTTAACACCTGAAACAGTGGAAACTAAGTATCACACTACATAACCCTGATTAACTGCAGAAGACATAAAATATGGGGGGGGGGGGGGGGGGGGGGGGGGGGCAGTTACCACTTATAATTATACCGTTCAACTGATAGAAAATGGTCCCATTTTTCTATTCCTCACCGTTTGAACTAACACTTCCGGTGCTCTGTCGTGATCTGACACAGTGGGCTCCGTTCTGGCACTTGTCTGTTTCTAACATCAGGGTTGCTGGACTACTGCTCCGTCCTTTCGTCGTCCCTACATGTATATACATGTATATACATTATACATTATACATTATTCATTATACATTATACATTATACATGTATATACAGGTAGAATAGAACGGCTAAAAAACGTTCTACTATTTCATTATTATAAATAAGCTGAGGATTATTCTCACAAAACGTTAATCTGGAAAACTACTGCTAATTTCACATTTTATCCTTCGTTCATGCTGCTAGTTTCAATGAATGCAGAGTTAAAAAGGTGTCATTGTCACTGATTCCAAGAAGCTAATGATAATTTGTCACGCAAACACTTCCTACCTACCGTTATTCTCAGATCCGTTAACTGTCGAAGTGTTGGTATAGGAAGTGATATTAGAACACACAGTGTCAGTGAAACTGTCCACTGAGTTGAACCTCATCATGTTTGTATTGCTCTCTCCTCCTCCTCCCGGAACCGCTTCCTCCGCTCTGAACTGCGTTGTCGAACTGGGGAAAATAAATTTTATCAAAAACATGTTTTTTGTGGTTATTTATTACGGTCAAATTTGTAGCAGGGCTGCTGAAAACGAAGAATCACTAATTGATATCCAGAATTTGAGTATTTAATTCCTGTAATTTGAGTATTTAATTCCTCCGCAAAAAAGTGAACAAGAACAGAACAGCTTACTCTTGGTACTGTCGTATACTAAATTTATCCTCTTTCAAGTACTGCAAGAAGTAGAAACAGAAGAGAAAGACGTCCTCCTGTTTGCTCAGTCTGTCTTCTAACTGATGTCTGCAATTTATTCAATTAATAATAATTAAATAAATAAATAAAGTCGAATTTTATACAGCACTTTATCGGTAAATATTGGAGGTATTTACACTCGGTTATTAACGTTATATCATTGTGATATTTCTATACTAAGTCTCGCTTGAATGTCGAAGCGTGTAATAAATGTTACAATTTATTTTTTACAAAGCTAAGTTGTGTAACTCAGGGCTAATACAAAGGGCGAAACATTCATAAAATAATAAATAAACTTTCTATCCCGATGTAGTAAATGAAAAGAATAGTAAATCAAACTTAAAGATCTCACCCAAATAACATCCAATCGTAGGCGATTGTCAGATATAAAATTTCCTTCGCATCAAGGTTTTGATGGGTGGCACCGTCCTAAAGAAGGTGTAACAGTTAAAAACCAGAAAAATAGCGAAGTTGAATGATTAACTGATTAACTATTTAATTAATTAATTAAACTGATTAACAAATTATAAAACTTACCGCCCAAAGTGATAGTCTGAGGAGGGATGTAAAAAGAGGAGTTCTGTCCCAACCAGATATGCAGTGCAACAATAACCCACCTTCACCTATGAAAATGATCTTAGGTTGATATTTAGTAACTAGTAATCTTAGTTAATAATCCTAAATAAGTAATACTACTATTGAGACTGTGGCTAATCCAGCGGAGAAATGGAATTTATCGAATAAATATTGACTTAAACTGCGCAAACCTTCTCCTAAACATTTAACGAGCAGCATCATGTACGAACTTGTCAGCTCTATTAGGTTCCACTTCTGAAAATTTAAAAAGTTGTTAATGAGATAACGAAGAATTTCCCTGTGTATCAGACCCATGCATGTACACAATAATTTGCTCAGTTAAGTATGGCTGCCAATTTTCCCCATGATTCACTTGAAGACCCTATCATAATCATGACGAACTTAATGAACTTTCATGAGAGTGTATGCATCATCAAGAAAACTTAATACATAATTCATATTAATAAAAACGCGACGTACGTGATGATAATTGTACGTGATATGACGTGACGCGCGCAAGTTCGGCGCGTTATAATATATAACAATGACTACTCGGGATAGCTAAATTATTTCCGCGCGTTACGTGAAATACGTGTTTTTTTTTCTTGCCACAATCAGTACAATATGCTTTGGACAAAAATTGTAAGAGAATGCCACACTTTTTCAGATGCAAAATAGTACAAAAGTTAGTTCATTTCATTCAGTGGATAAAAACGTGCAAATCACCGATAATTTATCTTGTCCGGAGACTACTTAATCATCGTAATTCAAACATAATGTTTCTCTGATTGTAATAAAATAATACATACACAAATTTCGTTTTTTCCTGAGTTTTATCTAGTCAACTGATAACGTGATGTATTTATGTGACACACAAATATAACAAGAATCTAGTAAAACTTCGCAACAAGATTAAAATTGGTTATTAACCAATAGACTTTAAATTGAGCATATGTGTATTGTGAATCTGGGACTAATTGCTGGTGCATTGGATCTAATCTGGTTGATTTAATTTTAATTGTAATGGATTTTATACTCTGTTCAGATTTTGCAGATGAAAAATGTTCCATGTTGTGCAGCTAAATTTGTTTAGTCTAGGTGATCACCGACGCGACATGGATCAAATTAGTGTAATTAGATTTATGCAGTAAACACCGGCCTACTCGATATGCAGACATTACTTAAATAATATTTCAAAGCGTGGCATTTTTACAATATTCAAGAATAAATTAAGTGTGGCTTTTTTATAATTTCCTTACAACTTTGCTAGAACGCCGCTACATGTGTGGTAAGAAGTCTCCAGCATGAATGATGATATTCGGTTAACTGTTAAATAAGATTAGATTTTATAGCATGTATAATGCTCTCGTTAATGTGGGAAATGGCAAAAAGTTAATTCTAGCTATCGTAGCTTCGAGATTTTTGAAGAAGGATGAACATATTTGCCAGACAGTCAAAAAAATAAGCTCAATTGATGGAAATATGCAAGAATATCATGGTTTTAGTGCCTTTCCAAGCATATCAGATGATAGTGGCTGCATTCTGCAATCGACACTGTGTATTTATAATATCAGATAACCCTTACCAAGCTGATCGGACATGTGAATATTCACCAATATTCATCACGTACATCTGGTATTCAAATCGAGTGCATAATAAATACGCGAATAATAAATTGGCACGACGCATGAAATGTTGTGTTCGTTAAACTTGGCGCAGTGCCAGAAGTACTCCATATCACAAAGGTCAAAGTATCAGGTTTCAAAAAGGCAGTGTATTTCTTGTAGCCACTATCTTATAACTTCTACGCATATTGCCAGGTCAAGACAACATTTTTAACATGACAAGTTTCGACATAGGATTGAGGAGTAATTCTGAAATTCAGATATAGAATAAATTAACTTGATTAATTAATTCTAACAGGCCCAACAAGCCTCTCTAAGTATCGATTTTTGCAGCCAAGTTCGCGCATTGTGACCCATATCTGTAACTTATTGAAAAGTTAACTTAATTTAAGAACATATAAGATAACTCATAACTCAATATGGGACTCTTAAAAATATGTGTACATTTCCGTACGTGTTTGGAAACTGTACGTGCTTTATTTAGTTCCTTTCTGAAAGCAATCTTCCGTAGCATTCCCAACATATTTTCAAACTTCAAATTCCTTAACACCCGAAACTCTCTTGGTAATTTGTAGCTCTATAATATAACGTAAGTTCAAATTTGTCACTGGTAAGTTGTGAACGCCACTCAGATACAATTAATTAAGTCCTTAGAAGCCAACCTTTTTTTGTAAGTAAGTTAAAATAGCTATTCATTGTGTGTTACATACGTCGCTGTAAGTAACACACAATATATGTTCAACTATTGTTAACCTAAACGAATGAACCACCTGCCACCTGGTATAGTAAACAATACATAATATAGTAGCTAAATATAAGTATTTTAACTCTAAATATATAACTATGTACGGCAATGTTTCCGTTCAGAATTTAACACTTGCATATTATTCAAATATCTATGATTGTGCTAAGTACATAAATAAAATAAATAAATAAATAAAGTCAATTTTTACAGCACAGCAATATATATCTAAATATCAGATCCTCTGTAATCATAATGTATAAAAAAAGGAGCTTTTCTCTGTGCTGAAGGATGAATCAAGGCAGATCATGGTTCTGTTAGCAGGCCACCCTAGTTATGGACAATACATATATATAAAATAATTAAATTATAATTTTAAAATTGTGTCAAGATTGAACTAAAACATAACTCAGGGTAAAATAGACGTATTCCCTTCGTCAAATTAACTATTTACGATACTAAACTTAAACGAACTCCGGGTAAAATAAACGTAATCCCTTTGTCAAACTTGCTATTTACAATAAGTTAATAAATTAATACGGTTGAAAATTATTTCATATTCAATAACAATGTATCATCAATATAATTGATACAAATGAGGAGCATACATAGCAGTGAGAATTGCACATAACAGGAGGACTGGAGGTATGGAGCAATAATGATTGACAGTGCACCTTTCCACTGATGTTCCTAATTTCCTGTAATAGCTTAATAGGCATGGAAATACTTTGATTGCAGGGGATAGATTGGATTCACTTATGTACTGAGATAACTTAACCGAAATAACATAACTGCCTAGATACATTGGCTAGTGTTGGGTGGGATCATGAATTTATCGTAAGAGTTATCCCCTTGGTAATTCTCATCAGTTAGCACCATATTCATAAGAGTTTCTTTGTATAACTTAGAAAATTTCTTAACGTCGTCACACTCTCTAAGGGACTTTGGTAATATGTTCCAGGCCTTAGTTCCTAGATAGTTAAACTCCTTGTGAGATCTTGATTTAGGAGTATAAAGATTGCAGTTTTCTGCCTCACGTGATCCACCAGAAATATACGAGAATTTCCCGACATGACTTTCACGTATCATATGATGAAAACCTAAGCTTTTAGTAGCTACTTGTGTGTAATTTATATGTATAGCTAACAATTTAAAATATGTACAGCTAAGAACTGTGTTGTAGTAGTATTTATAGATGGTCAAACTTTTTATGGTCCACAGATCATTTCATCATTGAATTAGGTACATGAAAAATGACAATTCGTATATAATATATAGTAAGTTTAACTCGTAAATAACCGTAAACAGAAACTAAAAAACATGACAAAAGCAAAATTAATGATAAAATCATCTCACCTTATAGTCAAGCCAATCCAGTGAAATGTCGTTAACTATGGGTGAATTTGGGAGTTTGAGTTCTGCGTTAACAAAAGCCTGGTCCCAGTCAAAGTGCATGTTTTCCGCACACATCTGTTTTGTCCGGAATTCAGTGAAAAATTCGGTTCCTGAAATGATGAGTTTAGTATGTTTATTAATGAAAAATTACGCAGTTCACAAGCCACAATATTATGCAGTTAAGTTATTATAATATGTAGTTATGTAATATATAGTGTAGTTACTAGTTGCTAGTTATATATTATGATGTAGTACAGTAATTGGCATAGATAGTTGAACTGGCACTGATGAGATAGTATCAAGAAATTACTTTGCAATAATTTTGACTTCCCTCTTTTTAAAATTTTCTGTATTGAGATCTGTGATTTGAGTAGTTGATACTAGATATTAGAGTCAGTTAATAGATAAGTTAGCGTCATGATAGTAGCACGATAAAGTGTACAGTAAAAATGTTGTAAAATATATTAGCCAGCTTTGTCCTCGTCTATCGGTAATTATGCAAAATGTGACTGCGTTATGAATATATATACAAATGTAACACATACTTCGTGAGTCGTGACACACCCATTCTAAAGAATATCATACTTGACATTTTCCTTTCGACAGAACTTATAGCCCTTAAAATTTAAAATATTATGACAGGTGATGTCTCTCAGTATTCTAATATTGAACAACAAGTGATCTAGCTGAGAGTTTAGACTTAATGGAGCAAATACAACTTCAACCTGACTCCGAAACAGAACACGGAATAACTTCCATACCCAGCCCCCACTCCCCAGCCCCCACTCCCCAGCCCCCACTCCCAACTCCCCAGCCCCCACTCCCCACTCCCAACTCCCCAGCCCCCACTCCCAACTCCCCAGCCCCCACTCCCAACTCCCCAGCCCCCACTCCCCAGCCCCCACTCCCCAGCCCCCACTCCCAACTCCCCAGCCCCCACTCCCAACTCCCCAGCCCCCACTCCCCAGCCCCCAGCCCCCACTCCCCAGCCCCCACTCCCCAGCCCCCAGCCCCCACTCCCCAGCCACAAAGCCAAAAGGCCACAAACAAACTGGCCGTTAAACGTTCTTGGTCGGGGTATATAGGCAGTCGATGGGCTGGAGATGTATTTTGAGATTTATGACGTGCACACCCAGACCTTCTGTTCTTATCACACATGAACTATACAACAATACTGCTTGTTGATATTTAAACAAGGATGTGAGCTGCATATTCAACATATCACGTACGATAAATGAAATCGTAACAAAATAGCGGTGCTTTGAACCTGATACTAAATATTTTCTGGCTGCGAAAACTTGTGAATTTTCCAATGGATAAACATGTATTTGGTAGACCCAGAATGAAATTTATCATATTAATATGCTTTGAAAATAAAATAGTGGTTCGTATTTCTATCTCATATTACCCAGGGACAAAAGGAAATCGCGGCATGTACGGAATCGCGATTTTCCCATTATTTGCGACAAATTTTATGTATAGTTTAATGTATAGTCTGTTAAAAATCGCGGTATCGCGATTTTTGGCAAAAATAATCGCGAGATCCTTTTGTCCCTGATATTACCTGGGTAAGGGACTGAGTACAGATCAAAATCACAGTATCTCTTTTCCTTGTCAGCTTTCTCAGAGGAAGTAATACTTAGTCCGAACTTTACCTAATGGGCAATTAAGATTAATAATTAGAAGATTACGTCTCATCATAGATGTTCATCTGGAAAAGATATATATTATATATAATATATATATATATCATAACATACCTATTATATGTATACTGTATTCATGTATAAATTGTATTTATAGTAAGATTACTGAAATAATATCATAGTTTTGTCAAACATACAATCAAAGATTTTAAAAACATTAATTTTTCACAATATGAGATAAAATGCTGTAACGTTGATCATGTAATGTAGTTATTTGTTAATCACTGCACTGGTACGATATAAGAGTTTTACAGGGTGTTGCAAGACTCGTGTCCAAATTTTGAATGGCTCTCAAAATCTAACAAATGAGGCAAACAGTTTATTTTGTTTCAAATCGTAGACAAATTATTACATTTTAAAATACCTTTTTGTTTTCTACCATCATGTCAAATATATGTTTTACTTTCAAGTAGTTCAACAAGTCTTTGTCTGCCTCACGCAACTTGTCGCACGTTTCCCACTCACTAAAGGGTACATTTCACAGATCAGTCAATGCTAATTAAAATTGAGCCGTAATTTCAAGCGCATACACCATTAATATTCTTCAATCCTTGATTTCACGCATTCCATCTTAATATGAAGATTTATAGTGTATATTTTCCTATAAGTATTAAACGTAATTAGTAAATATTAGTAACTATTAGTAATTAGTATTTAGTGATTATTAGTACCTTGAATACTCATCCCAAGTCCCCTGCAACCACTCCATACCAGACCTGCCCAGTATCTCCGCGGTGGTTGCCAGTGTGGCAGACCTACAAACGAACTTGTCTCTGTACACCATCACTGGTGCTGGGAATCGGGACCGGCACCGAGCTAAACGTGCCTTGTGGATCAGACCGTTCACTTCTTGAGCCATCTCGACAGGAGCACTGGGATTATTATACTGTTAATATAGTTTTACCGTGGAATGATTTTAAACAGTTTTAACATTTTTGAATACAAAATTCTAGAAAAAAACGAGGAAGTGGCAAAGTAGAAAAATGGAAGTTCTAATTTCTATCTCTTACCACTCTTTGTAAGTGGTAGGTATGATAAGATGTCTGGGATAATGACCACACAACTCTCCTCCCTGGTTGCTGAGCATCTCGACATTGTAATCCTTCAAGAAGAGCCGCTTACACTGCGCTTCTACTCTGTCGATCATGGGATCAACAAGCGTTGTGTGGTATTGGATCTGCGAGTACTGATCCACAAGCCAGGGTATATTCAACTCCTCGTCACTTCCCTCCATTGCTTTACTTGCAGCTAGGGCTGCTAATATCCTTCTCTAGATCCTACAATTTTGACACATTTCAATGAGAAAAGACAATTTTTTGAGAAAAGACAATTTTATTATTTATCGCTAATTTATTACACAATCAATCAATAAATATACATCCGAATGAATTATTCCCAACTAAATGTTGGCGCTAGGTGTTATAATCCCTCTAAAGATGTTAGGACAAATAAATAAAACAGAGCTTGTTATCATATAGCTCTTGTCGTCAAAAATGCAGATTCTTCTTTTTAATTAAATACCAAACCCTCCCATCTCCATATCCTATATGCCTCTTGAGACCGAGTACTCAGATGACATCAACTTCAACAACCCATGTCTAGAGACCTTTAAAAAGCTCTTCCTCATAGCCAAATCTGTCAAGAAAACAACAATTTTATTTAGTATCAATTAAAGCAGACAAAAATATATTTTATATATATATAACTAGCACGAACTTTAGATCAGATATCAAAAATGCAGATTCTTCTGTGTTCGGAGAATATAATCTGTTCATCAATACGAGTAAAACCGAGTATGTTCACTTCTATTTGGCGGACCCAAAACCTTAGAAAAAAGAGAAAGTTGTTGTGGGAACTGCCTACAGGGGCAAGGAACCATGGAGAACACACAAGACCTTATGCTCTCTTATGTGCAGCGAGAAAGACATCAAGCATCGTTGTATACTTGGCAACGTTGCTTTCAGAAAATTTGAGAATATCTGGCTGAAGAAAACAAAAATATCACTTAGTCATAAGCTCAGAATATACAAAGCTCAAGTCGTTTCCATCATCTTGTATAATTGCAACTCCTGGGCTGCCCCTGCAGCATCCTTCAAGTACCTTGATGTAACTCACAAGAGACACCTACACACCATTCTCAACATCAAATGGCCTACCAGATTCATCACCAACTCAGACCTGTACAAAAATAGTGACACCACTCCCCTACCTGAACGTGTAATCGCCTTTCGATGGTGTATGCTTGGACACATCCTTGGAGGAATGGAAGACTCTCCAGCCTATTTTTCAATCTTATTTGCTATTAATCCTGAGACTGACGTAACTTTTAAAGGGAGGCTTGGTAAACCTTGTCTAAATTTATTTGATTAGAAATGACCTAAAACGAAAGAAAATGTTATATTCTCTACGTTCAATTTCAGATTTTGGAGATTTGAGAGCCATTGTATTGCTCTTGATAGAGTTACATGGAAGTTTTTTGAGAAAATTTAGTTTTATATTTTGAGGACCTTTTTATTTTTTGGGACAGCTACCAATAAAGTTTTTAGAATTGCTGTTTTCAGATATTTTGAACTTTGATATGGTTTATAATAATAAATTATTAAAGTTTCAAAGCATACACACTACCACACACACACTAGTGAAACAAATTTTTAGTGAAACAAATTTAAAATTTTAACCTTTATTTTACAATCATAATATTATAATATTTATAAGCCTCCGTTTTGAAAGTTTTAAATTGTAATATATCCACATTTATATTTAAAATTCAATTTTATGTATAAATCAATAACTGGCCGCCAAAGCCGCGCATTCTTCAAGAAAACAACAATTCAAAGAAAACAACAATTTTATTTAGTATCAGTTAAAGCAGACAAAAACATATTTTATAAATATAACTAGTGCAAACTTTAGACCATATATCTTAGGGGACTTGGAGTAGCAAGAGAGTGACCAGAAAGTATATGTATACTTTTACCAAAAATACGTCGAAATGAATCCAGGGTGATACAGGATCTGAGAGTGCAGACCATAAAGTTTACGCACCCACCCTTGCCTCCTGAATTCTTGGTTGGATAGACAAATATGCAAAATTGGTCGTTTATACTCCAAGTCCCTTTGTTAATAGAAGTAGTATTATTTATGTCTGGAGTTAGCTTCATTCAATAATAACAATATCAATATAATCAATATTAATATCAATATCAGACTAAACTATCAAATAAATAAATTATCAAATATCAATTATTAATTCACTCTGATTAAAAAGTTATAAATTAGGATATCTAATATTTAAGAATTACAACTACAAGTTGTTAAAAACGCCCAAAATAGATCTGAGATATTTTCAGTCTGTAGTACAATAATGATAGCAATAGTTTAAATTATGTGCCGCTGCAATTAGATTAAATTACTGTAACTTAAAATTGTTTGGAGTCCAAGTATCTTTCAAGTCAGCAGCCTGTGATTGTATTAATAGTGCTTTCGTTCTCAATTTTATCAGGTTAATGGAAGTTTCTAGACAATTGCTTGAAGTTAAAATTTTTTTATGAACAGTGTTCCAAAGCTTGGCTGCATTAAACAAAAAGGTATTTGATTTATTTAGAAGAATAACCGTTAGACTCGTTGCACGGTTTGAAATGTTGATCGCCTCTTGAAAACAGGATTAACTTGTTTATAGGTATACGACATGACAAAGTAAATTTAAAACTATCCGTGCTTTTTAAAATATAAATTATAATTATACCTAAATCTTGTAGCGCGATGCACTACTGGGCCGCGCCGCGCATCTTCTCGCGGAAACCACAGATGCAGATCTGATCGGCGAGATTGACATCGTGAATCAAACCTAAATCCAAAGCCAGCTAACCAGCTTTGTAAAATTTATTATTAGATCATATTAATATATCGTCAATTCTAAATATTTACAATGCAATATTTCATTAATTGTTAATTAATCTATAAACAATGAACAAGCGTACTCCAGCCCCTACACGCAGCTACTCACTACTGTGCCGCGCGCGCAGAGCTGCGATGCAATGAAATGACATCGTCAAACTCAATTAATTCTTATGTGTTATTATTTGACATACGCTGTAACCCCTTTTGAGCGCGCCGGCGTGCACGCTTCGCGTGCACGAGAGGTATACAACGTGTAGCAAGTTATTATATGCGGCGCGGCCCACACGCGTATTATTTTATACTTTTTGCTTTCTAATAAATATCGTGTCAATGTGTACGTCTAAGTGTAGGTAGTGCGCCATCGACAGTGAGCCGCGCGTGCCGACTGTAGGATGGTTTTTTATCGCTAATTTCGGGCAGTACAATTTTCTTCAAACAAATAGATATTGAGTATTCTTCCCGACCTCCGATTGCTACAAAAATTGGTAAGCTTACTCATAGACTTACAAGGAAAGTGTCCAAAAAATTTAAAGCATATCCAACCATCAGACATTATGTTACAGCTAAAAGCAGCGTATTTTGCCCCATACCATTTTGATCACTATATCAACTCCGATATCCACCAAATTTTTTGGACAGTTGTGAAAGCCTTATTGGAAGGTCGTCGCGAATTTTCAGAATGATCCCATTCAAGGAACTGAAGATTTATCCAAATAATACGACAAAAATCAACGCGCAACGAATTTGGTCAAATTTGGTCAAATTACGCGACTTTTACAGCTACTTTTGCTCCAAAACACAAAAGCCGCGCACCATCAAATATGGCACCAAGGTGAAACTCACTAATCATTCCAAAAAGGTATGACAAATTTGGTACTGTGAAAATTCTCACAGTCTCTAGAAAACAATGGTACAAAAATTTTTTAAATCCGAGCAAGTTTATTTTTATCGTGCACCCCCTACTAAGTGTTCATGTTTTGTGTAAACTGAATCCAATTGAGACTAGTGTTGACAGATGTTACTCGTCTAAATTTCTTCGAAGTAGCGCGCGCCGCTTTCTTCTCGAAATGGCCCGATAGCACTGTTAGATAGGGGTATAGTGAATTGAGGGTGAACAGGTTTGCAATATCTCACGGCCTGTATTATGGTAATTTATAGAATAGTTTTAGTTTTACTGAAAGACTGGTAGTCGATCTAGACTGGTAGTCAGATAAGTTTTGAAGTCTTTATCAATAGGGTTGCAATGTCCCACGGCGTGAAGCTGTAGTTAGTATTTTAAGTCTTCGTAAATTAGTAGTTATTTAGAGTTGTGAAGTTCCCGGTGGGAAAAGCAGTGGCTTAAAGATTGTTAAAGTTTCAAATTTATTAGAGCTTATAGTTAAAAGAATACTTACAATTATTTTAACAGCATTGATTTTTGATTATTGTGTTGACAAACTAGCCGAGGTGTTACAAGAGTGCCATGAGAACCAGCTCAGCCTTCAACTCCCCAAAGACCTGTCAACCAGCACGCTACAAAAAGGGAAGCTCGCCTTCCGCCTTCCGCCTTTCGCCTTCTGCATTCACCTGTTCCTATCATGGCCCGGGGTCTTGCTCTGCTGTATCCGTTCTCTCTCCACATGTTACTCATTTCTATTATAGATTCCTCGCACTACTAGTACTACCTGTTCCCGATAGATCCTTCCAGAATTAGGCTATGGAGTTCCTTTCCTGAGGCAATATGACGGTGATACCCACCCCACTTGCTCTGCCTGTCCTCACCTAAGCTCCACCAGTCGCATTGCTTTATTGATTCCCCCCTCCTTCCTCGAGAACCGTTCGTCACTATGTTAGATCCTCGAGATGACCATGCAAGATGGTTCAGTTCTAGTTGACATTCCACTATATGAAAAGGCCAGATCGCCACTTTATATTCTTATTCCTTGAGAGAGAGAGAACCGGAACAGCGACCTCGTGAATCATCCTATTTAATCGCTTCACCCTCGCCACATTCGCTACTACTTCAATTATTGGGGTAAATGGACATTAAGACTAAGTTATGAGATATGAGAGATAAATTAATATTGTAGTCCTATTTAACCCTATTATTTTACAACCCTTTATTAACTTGTTTTAATTGGTTATCTTCCAGATATAAATTCACATAAAATTCTGAAGTCCATAATTACAATAGAAATTACTGTCCAAAAATGTATCTGTACAAAGAGAGTTTGGGCTGGGACTACTTCCCCGAGAGAGTCTCAAACCGGAAGACTTCCATAACATCGGAACTTGAATTTCCATACTCTAGTTAAAAGGAGCCCATTATACGTAGTTAATTTAATACCATCACAAAGTAATGAAATATAATAAATAAATAATCTCTAGAAGTCATGGAAAATTGGAGCATTAAATAGGCCGTTAAGTAAGTTGTCGTGCTGAAACCCGAAATAGCCGCTTAACAATGTAGCCCTAATGCGGCTCTCTCTGTACAAAATTTTGTAGCAAAATTTTCAAAAAATCTGGAAGAGACACCAAACCTTAGTTTGCTTGTTTTTATAGTGCACCGTTAGTGCAATTTATTTATTTACATTGATATTAGTTGTTGCAGCCATCGCCATAAAATGATGAAGTCACAACAGAGAAGTAGGTAGAAGAGATAAAGAAGTGATGTAATTATAATGAGAAGTAAGAGAAGAAGATGTTAAAGAGAAAAAGTGATATATTATAGGAAATATACGGCCGTATAATTAGATAAAGATAGGAATGATGCGAGAGATGTATGATGTTACGAGATAATGAGATTATGCTATTATGAGATTTTGAAATGTGAGACAAGTATATTATGGGGAGATATATCAAACTGCAGTATAAATTATTAGCCGGCTAAGGGATACGGGGTTCAGAAGATGTTGTGAAGTTTATTGGGAGGAGGTGCTATAATGGTTGTTGACAAGGTGTTAGTTTTAATTAGTAGATGGGCTTCTTATCTGTTATTTGAGTGTTGTGATACCTCCAAAAGAGCTCTTGGTGGTTAGAAACACTTCAGATTCAGTACGACCCTTCGAACTTTGAAACTAAGATTGGCAACATGATTTAGCGTAATAGGGTATGCGGACGTGAAGAAGAGAAGATATGATACAGAGGGAGATTTGATAAAGGGTTTGTTGTTTAAAAAATAAAGATGATTTAGCGTAATAGGGTATGCGGACGTGAAGAAGAGAAGATATTTGAATTATGATGATACAGAGGGAGATTTGATAAAGGGTTTGTTGTTTAAAAAATAAAGATGATTTAGTGCAATAGGGTATGCGGACGTGAAGAAGAAGGGAAGATATTTTAAATGAAGTAGATACGTAGAGAAGTGATTTGATATAGAAGTGATGTTGTTAAAGTTGGCATGGTGGAATCATGCTGGGAAATAAGGGATTGGGAAGAGGGATGAGCTCCTTATAATCCCAGTCCTTAACAGGGGGAGGCGGATCCGCAAGGATCCGGGGACACGTTAAACATTTCTATAGTGCTGGAGAGGAAACTGAAGGCTCCCGTGTCTAACGAAGTGTGAATTAACACACTGCCTTGGTACCCTCTAGTCGGCCGTGTTTTCGGGCTACCTGGTGTTCAGTACCTGGAGCTTGTCACCCCCAGGACTGGAGATACGTCCCCAGGCAAGTGGAACACGGTGGTACGTGGACGACAGTCCACACCTAGCTAGTATCTTATCTTTTTGAACCCCACAAAGGTGGAAAATTACCCAGAAAGGGAGTAAATAAAAATTTGGAAGATAAGATCTAGTGAACAGGCAAGGCAAGAGAAAACGGTCAAAGTTCATAGTTGTGACAGCTAAGTCCTCTATGGATAAGACCGTCGGTGGAACCTAGGAGTGCCAATCCCACTTACTGGTCATCCATCGCTACAGACTGGGTCCCTTGCCGGTAGGTTCACATATGCGTAACATCCTTTTATGTAAAAGGTTGCGTGATCTGCTCAATGTACAGTCGGGCCTACATAAGCTAAAAGCGACTTGGTCTTTATGATCGTCCAGTTAGTAAGCGAATGTAGCTGTTGTGATCGAGGGGATTAAAAAGTGAACCTCGGGAAGCAATGGGCAGTTCTTTAAACTGCGGAAATGGGGTCAGCTCAGACTGCGCCTGGTTACACATAATGATTAAGTAAGAATAAATAAGTAAGTAAGGGTGCATAAAATGAAAGTTATGATTGAGTTGAAGAAGTTGAAATGTGACAGGAGGTCGAAGACCAGAAGTGACAAATTTTGTTGAAGTTGGAGTAATTTACGTTGTGAAATATGGCTGGTGGCTGCACATTAATTACTGCATTAGGCATTTATAGATTTATGAAGAAATATGTAAGTACTACTAAGATTATTTTTATTCTCCGCAGAATACCGAAAAAGTTACGAACAAGTTGAGAGAACTTACAAGGTCAGATGTTGTAGCGATAATAAATAAATTAGAAACATTGCCCTTTGTAGCAGCAAATCCTTTTGCACTGTGTTAGAATTGTTTATGCTGTGTGAAGTAGTACCGTCGGCTGATCGAAGTATAGCCGCTTAGTAGTATCATATTTAAAAAAAGTCAAGTAGTTTAGATAAGAGTTGTAGTATTCGAATTAAGAAGTATGTATTATTGATTAAGTAATTGCGTGAATTAAAGATATAAACGGCTGATCGAAGAATAGCCAATGTAGAGTTTCGTATTTTAATTTTTTTTTAAAAGTTTATTTTGTCGTGCTTTTGTGAGAAAATGTGCTATAGAAATTTTATCGATCATAACATGTAATTGTAGAATCATTATAGTATGGTTTAATGTATAAAAAAAAAGATAAAAAAGAGTAAAAAAATAATAATAATAATAATAAAGATAAGTAAGTAAGAAGATAAAAAGTAGAATGGTCGAAATTTTATTTTAATTATTTCTTAAGTTATGAAGTATACACTATGTGAGTGAGCTTAAACAGTCGAGACCTCCTATTTCTATAAAGATCCGATATAATAATAACATAAACGATAATAACATTAACACTATAAATTGATAACAAGCTTAAATTATAAATTTTGTTTTAACGTGTATTGTGACACGGTGGTCTCTCTATCGGGAGGAGTACAGACTTTTAATTGTTGTGCTGTAATTACCGCTGAAGTAGAGTTATGTGAAAAAAACCTTGAGGAGAGACACTTTATAATTTTAATTTAAGTTGCCTATTAGCTGTTTGTAAGGGAATGATCCGATAAATGTATTTGATTAATATTAATTACTTATTAAACAATTTAAAAATTATTAGAAAATTTAACAAACGAAAAGTATTATCTAAATGTACCGAGATGGAAGTATTTAAGAGGACATTACCATGAGGTACACGTTAACGAAGACTATAAGTATAGAGAAGTGTATACCTCCACTGAACATCATATTCCGCACTGTTCTCTCTAAACTCAGTACACCAGAATAGGCACTACAATTACAACGACTTTACTTTTAAATATTAACTTATGGTAATTCAAATGTTTGTTTGTACGATTATATTTAATTTTGTTGGTTGTGCGCGAGAAATTCGATAGGTCTTTAAATTAACGATTTTTTACCATAAGAACGGGCATACCTTATTACTAATAGTTCTTTTGGAAATTTTTTAAAAGAAAAAGAAGAAGGTTGTAGATTTATCATTTTCTTTAAAGTATAGATAGTTTTGCTTTGACGTGGTCGTCATTAATTTTCGATCGGGGAGATGTTAGATAGGGGTATAGTGAATTGAGGGTGAACAGGTTTGCAATATCTCACGGCCTGTATTATGGTAATTTATAGAATAGTTTTAGTTTTACTGAAAGACTGGTAGTCGATCTAGACTGGTAGTCAGATAAGTTTTGAAGTCTTTATCAATAGGGTTGCAATGTCCCACGGCGTGAAGCTGTAGTTAGTATTTTAAGTCTTCGTAAATTAGTAGTTATTTAGAGTTGTGAAGTTCCCGGTGGGAAAAGCAGTGGCTTAAAGATTGTTAAAGTTTCAAATTTATTAGAGCTTATAGTTAAAAGAATACTTACAATTATTTTAACAGCATTGATTTTTGATTATTGTGTTGACAAACTAGCCGAGGTGTTACAAGAGTGCCATGAGAACCAGCTCAGCCTTCAACTCCCCAAAGACCTGTCAACCAGCACGCTACAAAAAGGGAAGCTCGCCTTCCGCCTTCCGCCTTTCGCCTTCTGCATTCACCTGTTCCTATCATGGCCCGGGGTCTTGCTCTGCTGTATCCGTTCTCTCTCCACATGTTACTCATTTCTATTATAGATTCCTCGCACTACTAGTACTACCTGTTCCCGATAGATCCTTCCAGAATTAGGCTATGGAGTTCCTTTCCTGAGGCAATATGACGGTGATACCCACCCCACTTGCTCTGCCTGTCCTCACCTAAGCTCCACCAGTCGCATTGCTTTATTGATTCCCCCCTCCTTCCTCGAGAACCGTTCGTCACTATGTTAGATCCTCGAGATGACCATGCAAGATGGTTCAGTTCTAGTTGACATTCCACTATATGAAAAGGCCAGATCGCCACTTTATATTCTTATTCCTTGAGAGAGAGAGAACCGGAACAGCAACCTCGTGAATCATCCTATTTAATCGCTTCACCCTCGCCACATTCGCTACTACTTCAATTATTGGGGTAAATGGACATTAAGACTAAGTTATGAGATATGAGAGATAAATTAATATTGTAGTCCTATTTAACCCTATTATTTTACAACCCTTTATTAACTTGTTTTAATTGGTTATCTATATCTTCCAGATATAAATTCACATAAAATTCTGAAGTCCATAATTACAATAGAAATTACTGTCCAAAAATGTATCTGTACAAAGAGAGTTTGGGCTGGGACTACTTCCCCGAGAGAGTCTCAAACCGGAAGACTTCCATAACATCGGAACTTGAATTTCCATACTCTAGTTAAAAGGAGCCCATTATACGTAGTTAATTTAATACCATCACAAAGTAATGAAATATAATAAATAAATAATCTCTAGAAGTCATGGAAAATTGGAGCATTAAATAGGCCGTTAAGTAAGTTGTCGTGCTGAAACCCGAGTACGCCAGTTAACAAGCACATGCTACGAAGTAGCGCGCGCCGGGCCAGATTTGCTCTAACCAGAGCCCTAGCCTCTCGCTTGCAGTAGCGCGCGACTTGTAAAACAAGCGCGTCACGCAGTACGCGTAGACACATGGCTATGTGAAGGGCCAGATCATTAACAGTGGTCAATACTAGTGACAAGGATAAGGACCCAAGTGCCTGTACGGCTTTTTCGGACCCCTGTTGACCACTACTCTTGAAATTGCTCTACAACATTGAATATTTATTGTAGGTTTATAAATTACCAGGACGCGCGCCGAGTTGGAGCTGGAGTGACTGGACTCGTCGACGGTCCAAATGGAACAAATATTTTACGAGTATCACCCGTTAAAATATTTGTATCCAACTCGGCGCGCGTCTTGGTAGGTTATAGTTATACAATATACAAATACAAACTGTATGATGCATAAAAAGACAATCTTTAAGTTTAATTTTAATGAAAGAAAAATATCACATATTCAATATTACATCTATATCCAATAATTTACAAAGTACACTTTAAAATTTTGTTGATATATTGACAAATCTATTAACAATTAATCTAGTTAATCTGCAGTAGTATAATAGTTAGTAATAGTTAATCTATAGTGCACACTGAAGTTAGATTTTGTAATGACCGGTAGGGCGGTAGCACAACTTTAAATTAATATTATGCGTATTTAAAAATTACCGTTTTCAACTGAATATTCTTGAACACAGTAAGTCAAAGTGATACCGTCATGATAAAATTTACTTATCACATCAGAATGGCAAGCACAGAAGAAAACATAAATTGCGCCTCCTAAATGAAAAACTCATGATGAAATAATATACAAGCTTGAAGCTACACAATGTCTTTCTAAACAATAAATTTACACCTAGAATTAGCAGTCATTTTGACCCTTTCAAACAACAGCACTTGCTGATTTAGTCTTTTTGACTTTGATTGAGGCTCTGAAGTTTTTGTAAGATCTTGATAGAGGTGGAAGTGGGGGGAGAGAGTTTGATTTGTTGCTAAGAAACGGTCGAGGACGCACAAATTTAACCGGCGTCTCCCTGTGAGAGAAAAAAGTTAAGGCGAGTATTTAACCAGGATCCTGGAAGATTGAAAAACTTATGAAGTTATTTAGTTGCTCCATTTCCCTAATTCAAATTGTTGCTGTATGTGATAATATGTTAATATTAAACATTTCCACTGAAATTCTGAACTTGATTAATCAAGTTAAACAGATCCATGAAATATGTAGTCGAGAATAAATAGGTACATTTCAGCTTGACGTACTGCAGCACAAACGATTCTAACTTACGGCGAGCAAAGATCAGGAGAACCAGTGCGGGAGCCCTTTTCGTGCCGACCTCCCTTTTTTGACCGGAAGCTAGAACGGATAAATTTAATACCCTGGAGAGAGAGAGGGTTTGGTTTGTCAGTCTGTCCTGTGGAGATATCAACATTCAAACTTACAAGTAACCAAGGTAACAGTTAAATGTAGTAGCAACAAACAACGTTTAAATGAGCCCAATTTAAACGTTGCTACTACAAATTTACAAGAGTTGACAAGATTAAAATTACTGTATTAACTGGGACACGTTTTATGTTTTTTTAATAAAGCACGTTGCTAAAATTGTTCCGAACATTATTCCGAACATTGTTTCGAACATTCTTCCATAAATTGTTCCACGTTCGTGACAAAAGATATTTTGAGGTGCTGGCAAAAGACAAGCCTGGGTAGTTAGATGTTGCTGAAAGTGCTACTGGGTAATGTCGTGTTTAGTAACGCGATTAATAATCAGGTGCTCTTCAAAAACTGTGGAATGCCATGCTTTCAGTTTCATGTGCAATGTGCATTGTGCTGCGGAGTGGGCAAGAGCGCTTGCGGAGTGGACAAGAACGCTTGCGGATTGGCCAAGAACGGTTGTCAGTAAGTAGAATCATAGTATGGCATCAGAAAATCCCGGAATTGTTTTCAGTCTGCTCTAGCCTTTGTAATGAATAATGGGCGATTCTAAGGCTTCAAGTTTTATGGCATCTCAGTTGAAGGTTGATGTAAATGAAGAACTGAAAATGAAAAGAAAAATGTGGGGTCAAAGGCAAAAAAAGCTAAAACAAGATCTAAACATGGACACTAACTTACCAATAAACATTCTCCGTATCTATGTATGCTTAACATTGAATTCACATAAAAATATAAATGATATCATTGCATGGAATTATTGGTTGGTTAGTTGATTGGTTGCAATTATGGAGGAGATGATTCGAATGATGTCATTGTACACGAGATTCTATCATATAATTGTGATGTATGACTTAGGTGAAAATGTGGTATACGGATCCCATTGCTTCACAAAGATTCACACGAACTCTCAATCCCTGTACCTTGATGCGGTGACTTGTAATATGTTAAGAAATGAGCTGCAAAATGAGAGAGGGTGCGTCATTTCAATATTTAACAAGTGAAAGTGAAAGTGAATGTGAAAGTGAAAGTGAAACGTGGATAAAAGTGCTGGACAATATTGAACAGAGTGCGTGCTGTAGAACACGTGACGGTGAATACAAATATGACATAGCATAGTGTTCTGTCCGTCAATGTGCGTCTAAGCGAAAATATCGTGTAAACGTTGCTTCCGGCTAATCAGCTAATATTGAATCATGCTAATATGCAGTTTGTTATTTACAATAACTAAGTAAAGCTGATAATCCTGCTAACAAATATCTGTTGAAACATTAAAAAACGAAACTGAAAGCGAATCATCTTAACAAAAGTGAAACTTAAACATGCTCCATATATTATCAACTCACCGACATGTACTGTTTCTTAGAGTTTTTGGAGACACTTCCTGTCTCGCTGTTGCTGCGAGTTCGTTTGATGGTGTCGTCAAGGGAAGAGGTGGAGGGTCGCCGAGTTAGGGCCGGCCGAGTGAAACTTCCAGAGACTCTGAACACCGGGTAATCATTGGGATCAGGATTACAGAATCAGGACATGAATACGTAATTACTTAATTGATTACTTAATTACAGAATCAGGACATGAATAATCAATTGACACTGATACACATTGAACATTGATTAGACATTTTTAGAGCTTTCTAGTAGTGGACAAGTATCATGTAATAGGTGGTTGAGCTCACTGAATATGAAACACTATTTTTAGTTTCCATTCTAAAAATCAAACAATTTGAATGTTCTCTCAACCGCCAAATAAATATTTGCCCACCACAATTGCATACCAGTTTTTTAGAAAAATTTGATCGGTAATCTTTGATAAATAGGCATGCTTTTAATTACTGTCTTATAAAAAGCGATTAATTTAACAACCATTAACTAAGCATAAAAGTGCGTCACAGTTAAAAGTCATAAAGTTTGCAGATATAGACTACGATTAATTTGTATTAGAACAGACAGAGAGTGCACCGGGTCCGGTTCATTCCTTGTTTGTTCTTGTTGAACTTATATTTTATAGCTTCAAGTTGGTAATCATATTCAGCAAAAGAACATGCAAGTAGTCAGCCATATTGATTTTAACAGCAGCATAAAGTGTCTCATAACAAATTCTATAGAAGAAATGTATGTGCTTTTTAAAAGAAAGGAGTTACAAAGAGGGAGGGAAGATTGAAGAGAGTGTGAGTAATGTTAATGCAAGGTGATTTTGGCCAGCCCACAAATTTTAAAAAGGTCATTGAAAGGGCCAGTGTATCCTGTTTATTTTCTTAAAATCTTTAATATCCGTGTGATTTAGATATAAGTGGAAAGAAACAATTTAAAATTTACAAGTTGACATGTTTTCAGGCAACAAGAAATAAAGGCACGGTCGATCTACACGTTATTCTGTTGACATGAAAGAAAACTTCACGACGACTAACTCAATCCTTAAAGTGGAACCAAGGTCCAAGGACTGACTGAGTAACGATTCAAAGATTAATTCAAAGCTGATCAGAGAAAAACGTCATCAGGATGATTCAGGGTGATTAAGAAACTCAATTCAAGACAATCTAAAACTCAAGTTCCAGAACAATCTAAAATTCGACTGTCTGAAGATTCCCCATAATCAGATTCATTTAAAGATTGATAAGGGACAGTTTGATAACAACACCAGCAACACCAGCAGGAATACTTTCTTGAGCGACTCATTGCTGTCATTCTCCGCCTGATCCCTTGACTGAGTGACTCATGCCTGCTGAGAGATGAGCACCTTAACTAATTAAATAATTAACAAACTTATTTATTAACTAATTAATCGGATAATTAAATCAGAAGGCTCGTGGATTGAATCGTGCAGGCCAGAGCGATAAGTTGGGACGACTGAAGATAGTTATTATTTAATCCTGTTTAATGAGAGCAAAGAATGATACCATTCGTTTCTTGCCAAGCTATTGCTGCAATACATGCAAATTCAAAAACCTCTCTGACCTGTTTACGACCAGATGAATGAAAAGGATTTAATGAATAATGAATGAAAAATGAAAAGTTTAACAAAATGGTTCATTATATCTGTTTGATGTCTCTCTGGGGTTAAAGTAAAATCATTACAATCAGCATGCGAGAAGTTTAGCTTAACTTGCGACACATACACTTTAGTTCACGTATAATATATAACAAGAGTAACATGCAAAGGTATGAAGAAAACGAGCAATTTAATTAACTTATCGAAAAGTAATTAGCTTGTTAGTTTAGCTAATTGATAAGGAACTAGCGGACGATTAGCAGGCAGCATGCGACGAGTACATTGTGCGGGCACCTTTGAGATGTAGCTGCTCACTGAGGTCACCTCCTTCTACCAAATCAGTAAAACTTATCTCCTCTCCTTCCAACCTCACCCGCTTGACAATATCAGCCCGCTTCCAAAGTTTCGAGTGATTTCCCCAATTTTGTACCACTCTGCTTGAGCCGATATCAGCTGATTCTGCTGAGCAGCAGTAGATCACGCATTCCTCTCTCATCATCATCGAATTGTGCATATTGATACAAGTTAAGGATTTTTAGTCTTCATAATAGAATCATTTCGGTGTCTTTGTCTTCAACACCGTCCAAATATATTTCATAAAATATTGAGCATTTACATCTACCGTTATCAAAAGTATTTCAATGTCTATCTGATTGTGTCCCTGAGGATTTCAGAGCCTCAATGAATCGTGAGTAACGAAGACCCAGCAACTCCAAATCCTCCACCACTTAACCCATCAACCAATAATAAAGTCATTACCACCCAATTATAAAGTCATTATCTACCAATTACCACTGTTACAAACTATTCCGCCGTCTCCTCCTGGGACAGCAGCACAGTAGACTAGTCCTCCTCTTGCTCCTCCTAGCCCTGGAACCCCCGTCCACTTCTTCCTCCATCTCCATAAAGCCCACGTGGTTACTAACCTTACTGTTACTCTCGTGGTGCAGCAACAAGGGCTCAGTATCGTACAGTACTGACAGAGGTGTTCCGAGGGAGATCCTCTTTACAGAGCGTGGTGAAAGGGTAGAGTTGCTGCACACCGACTCCAGCGCTTCCTCCTTACTTTTAACCATGGTAGCACCAGTCTCTCCACCTCCATCTAGCGTGATGTGGTCTATCCTGATGCCACTGAGGGGGCGTTTGTTGGAGCCGGAGTGTTTGCCTAGTGACTGGTATTTGAAGTTGTTGTTCAGGGTTTTGGAGCGGTGGTAGTGGTCGGATGTGGTGTCTGATTTCTCTCGTTTGTGGCGACGGAGGGAGAAGTTTGGTTTGTCGTTTGAGACTGGGTGATTGCTGGGATAAGGTTGGGAAGGTGTTAGATAAGTGACCTTGTTGATCGATAATATATTGGCGGTCATACATATTTCATTTTATAACGTTACTTTTTTAGGTAAATCGTTGATTTTTATGATACTTTCTGAGTTTACAGACATGTTCTTAGTTTGAAGTTTAGACACCGACCGAGAGCCGGGTTTTTGCTATTTCTCAATTTCTCAATTTCTGAAGTGACATAAAAAACAAAAGATATTTTAGTTTTGAGTTGACACAAGTTACAAACCAAACAAAACCGACAGACTTATTTGGAGTCATGAAACGGTAGTGTAACGGATCCACAAATTTCACACAAATCATTTAAGACATAAAACTAAACCAATCAAAGCCAGTTTATCCGTGCCTTTAATTAGATCAATTATGCAATTATTATCCGACAGTTAAATTGATCCACTTGTCTTGGTTGGAAATCCTTCTATTGAAAGTTGCCTTAAAGTTTGCCACGCTTACAGTCGATCTTCTACCTGTCCGACTGGAAAACCGGGAGTTATTTATAGATTTACAGGATTAACTCACAACTAAATGAAAACGTTACTTACACTAATTTACAAACTTAATTTAACAAAAATTGTACAACCGTAAAAAAGCCGCGCGTTCATGTTGAACACGTTTACTCTCATGACGGTCAGCACAAAATAAAAGCAAATCAATGTACACGGTGCACAGCGTCACCCTTATAACGAGTAAACCTAATTAGAGTAATTAATTAATTAATTATCAGAGCTCTATAATCTCAAAATTATTATCGTTATCGGTGACGCATGTAAAATCGTTGTTATCGGTGGTTACAGAACAGCTAAAATTTGTGTAGAGTGACTTCCCGAAGAGTCCGTGATAGAACACAATCTCAGGACGGCTGAAACATTCCTCTCTCAGGATTCTAAGTTTAATTAATTAATTGTATTAATTATGTAAAATATACGTTGTGAGACAACATATAGATGGTATTCTAAGATTAATGAAGTTAATAGCGGCATTATTCTCCTTTTTCTGGTGCATCTATCCAAGTGATGTCATATTTCACGATAATGGTAAAATTTAATTTTAGAACAACTGTGCAAAAGTAAGAATGGTAACTACTATTCTATTCTAGATTTTATTGGTAACATCATACTGAGTGCTAATCCACTTCAAAAAAATGTTGAACGGAATGTAAAATGTTATTACTTATTAATATTATGTAGCTGGTTATATTTGTATATTGATTCAAATAAATGATATCATCAAACTTTAAAGTCGTAAGCGTTTAACCACTCTCTTTTGCGGTGAAGTTGAAACGATCTTACTGCTGACCTACTCACTAACAATCCATTAACTGCATAAGTCACTAATTGCTGAACTGCATTTAGGTTATTTTCTGTGACCTAGTCAACACTTAACAAAATCCATTGCTTACTGGAAGGGGAGAAGCTATCCCAATTTTGTAAACCATCTAGGATAAGCCCCCCATATCCAGTCAACTTACCGGACTTTGGTAGTGAGGGGAGGCGGGGGCGCTAACAACTCCTTTATCCTATCAGAAGTCTTGCTCGGCAGGTAGAACGCTGGTAACTTGCCGTTATTATCCCTAGTCAACTTGTCTGCTTCTAAGGGAGGATAACATAGTTTTAAACTACTTACAGAATTTTTAAAAATTCGAATAGTGTTAGTTAGGTAGTGGAGGGCGAATGTTCAACTCTTTTCAACTCTTTAAACATTTTAAAATGTTCTCATAAGCTTGCATTGCCTTTATATGCTTAAAAGAAAAAAGTCCGATAAACCCGTTTACTTACACCTAAAAATCTAAACTGCTAAAATACCTACTTTCTTTGATGAGCAGGTCGATTACATCCTCGTGGCCACACTGCGCGGCCATGTGTAGTGGAACCATTCCGTTAAAAGCACGTGAGTTAACGTCGCTGTCTGCCGAGATCAGCACGTGCACCATGTCTAGTCTACCTAGTTTACACGCCCAGTGCAGACCTGGAGGAACAGGAGATGTTTTAGATAATACTGTAATCTATATTATCTGGACTATTTGGAATTAGTCAGATGCGTCTTGAATGAATTTTAAACTATAAATCACAGCACTACAAATCTGTTACATTTATCTATTCATTAAGATATGAGATTTACAAGTATGATCACTGTCGGCCTTTTTAATAATTTATTACAGTAACAATTTTTGAACTGATTTGAAAATCCTAGCTTTTTTAATTTATTTATTATTCTTGTTGTATTTCTGTGTAAATTTAATTCTTATTCTTATTCTAATTCTAATTCTACTCAGAACATGATCAGAGCTTCAAATTATTTTTAGTAATATATTACAGTAGTGTAGCACACTAGGTGTACCTGGCTGCTCGACTATTAGTGGTAGGTAGGTTTTACAAATAAAAGACGTTAAATATGGAGTTTTGCGGAAAAGATGAAATCTAAAAACTTACTAGAAGTGGTAATCCACAGAACTGATCTCCAAAAACTATATCGTGACTCGTGAATCTAAAAGTTGTGAGGAAATGGTCATGTGACATGAAAGTGAAATGGGTGTGAGCAGACTAATGGTGACAAACTCTTTCAACAAGGTGAACTAAAGCGGTGAATGAGAAATGGGTTGGTTGGTCACGTGATGCATGGAACTAGGTCTAAATGGTGGACTAATTAATCGAGTGAAGCTTATTGGTTGAAGTGAAATGCGTCTACAAAACTTAATGAAAGGTATGAAACTAATTGCTGGGAAATGTGAACTTATACGATTTGAAGTGATGAACTGTGGATTCTAAATGGACAAGTTTGAGTCAAATTTTAGAAACAAATATTTTAAAGTGGCTTTCTCCTACAACCCACAAGTAAAACATGGCCAGCTTGCACCATCTGTCGTAGTTATCACAAATTTATTAATTGTGGTTCGTATTTTTATCTTATATTACCCAGGGACAAAAGAAATCGCGGCATGTTCGGAATCGCGATTTTCCTTTATTTGACGACAAATTTTATGTATAGTTTATAATATGTATAGTCTGTTAAAAATCGGGTATCGCGATTTTTGGCAAAAATAATCGGCGAGACTCCTTTTTGTCCTGATTTTACCTGGGTAAGGGACTGAGTACAGATCAAAAATCACAGTTTCTCCCCCCCCCACCCCCACTTTTTCCTTGTCAGCTTTCTCAGTGGAAGTAATACTTAGTCCGAACTTTACCTAATGGGCAATTAAGATTAATAAATTTGAAGACCTTACGTCTCATCATTGATGTTCATCTGGAAAAAGATTATATTATATATAATTTATATATATTTTCAGAACATACACTATTATATGTATACTGTATTCATGTATAAATTGTATTGATAGTAAGATTACTGAAATAATATCATAGATTTGTCAAACATACAATCAAAGATTTTAAAAACATTAATTTTTCACAATATGAGATAAAATGCTGTAACGTTGATCATGTAATGTAGTTATTTGTTAATCACTGCACTGGTATGATATAAGAGTTTTACAGGGTGTTGCAAGACTCGTGTCCAAATTTTGAATGGCTCTCAAAATCTAACAAATGAGGCAAACAGTTTATTTTGTTTCAAATTGTAGACAAATTATTACATTTTAAAATACCTTTTTGTTTTCTACCATCATGTCAAATATATGTTTTACTTTCAAGTAGTTCAACAAGTCTTTGTCTGCCTCACGCAACTTGTCGCACGTTTCCCACTCACTAAAGGGTACATTTCACAGATCAGTCAATGCTAATTAAAATTGAGCCGTAATTTCAAGCGCATACACCATTAATATTCTTCAATCCTTGATTTCACGCATTCCATCTAAATATGAAAATTTATAGTGTATATTTTCCTATAAGTATTAAACGTAATTAGTAATTATTAGTAAATATAAGTAATTAGTATTTAGTGATTATTAGTACCTTGAATACTCATCCCAAGTCCCCTGCAACCACTCCATACCAGACCTGCCCAGTATCTCCGCGGTGGTTGCCAGTGTGGCAGACCTACAAACGAACTTGTCTCTGTACACCATCACTGGTGCTGGGAATCGGGACCGGCACCGAGCTAATCGTGCCTTGTGGATCAGACCGCTCACTTCTTGAGCCATCTCGACAGGAGCACTGGGATTAATATACTGTTTTACCATGGAATGATTTTATCAGTTTTAACATTTTTGAATACAAAGTTCTAGAAAAAACGAGGAAGTGGCACAGTAGAAATATGGAAGTTCTAAGTTCTATCTCTTACCACTCTTTGTAAGTGGTAGGTATGATAAGATGTCTGGGATAATGACCACACAACTCTCCTGCCTGGTTGCTGAGCATCTCGACATTGTAATCCTTCAAGAAGAGCCGCTTACACTGCGCTTCTACTCTGTCTATCATGGGATCAACAAGCGTTGTGTGGTATTGGATCTGCGAGTACTGATCCACAAGCCAGGGTATATTCAACTCCTCGTCACTTCCCTCCATTGCTTTACTTGCAGCTGGGGCTGCTAATATCCTTCTCTAGATCCTACAATTTTGACACATTTCAATGATCGAAAAGACAATTTTATTATTTATCGCTAATTTATTACACAATCAATCAATAAATATACATCCGAATGAATAATTCCCAACTAAATTTTGGCGCTAGGTGGTATAATCCCTCTAAAAATGTTAGGACAAGTAAATAAAACAGCTTGTTATCATAAAGCTCTTGTCGTCAAAAATGCAGATTCTTCTTTTTAATTAAATACCAAACCCTCCCAACTCCATATCCTATATGCTTCTTGAGACAGAGTACTAAGATGACATCAACTTCAACAACCCATGTCTAGAGACCTTTAAAAAGCTCTTCCTCATAGCCAAATCTGTGTTTGAAGAATATAATCTGTTCATCAACACGAGTAAAACCGAGCATGTTCACTTCTATTTGGCAAACCCAAAACCTAAGAAAAAAAGAGAAAGTTGTTGTGGGAACTTTCTACAGGGGCGAGGGCCGAGGAACCATGGAAAACACACAAGACCTTATAATGCTCTCTTAAATTATGTGCGGTGAGAAAGACATCAAGCATCATTGTATACTTGGCAACGTTGCTTTCAGAAAATTTGAGAATATCTGGCTGAAGAAAACAAAAATATCACTCAGTCTTAAGTTCAGAATATACAAAGCTCAAGTCATTTCTAGGTTATCCATTATCGGTATGAAATTTGTTATCTAGATAAACAGATAAAGATTTAGGTTTTATCTAGATAAAACCGATAATTTTTCTGCTGAAGGCTAAAGCCAAAATGTTTTACAAATTTCACAAAAACTAATTGTCGACTTTTATTACTGTTTACCAGTAATCTTGTTAAAGTACCACTTCCTTTCTTTTGAAAACATTAGAGCATCAGTTTTCTTCTCCGGGGAGCAGAAGTGCACCAGTTTTCTTCAAAACAGTAGACCAACGGTTTTCTTCTCCTAAGAACAGTAGTGTACCAGTTCTCTTCAAAACAGTAGACCAAGGGTTTCCTTCTCCTGAGAACAGTAGTGTACTACCAGTTCTCATCAAAACAGTAGACCACCGGTTTTGTTCTCCTGAGAACAGTAACGCACTAGTTCTCTTCAAAACAGTAGACCAGTGACCACCGGTTTTCTTCTCCTGAGAACAGTAACGCACTAGTTCTCTTCAAAACAGTAGACCACCGGTTTTCTTCTCCTGAGAACAGTAGTGTACCAGTTCTCTTCAAAACAGTAGACCAAGGGTTTCCTTCTCCTGAGAACAGTAACGCACTAGTTCTCTTCAAAACAGTAGACCACCGGTTTTCTTCTCCTAAGAACAGTAGTGTACCAGTTCTCTTCAAAACAGTAGACCAAGGGTTTCCTTCTCCTGAGAACAGTAGTGTACTACCAGTTCTCTTCAAAACAGTAGACCACCGGTTTTATTCTCCTGAGAACAGTAACGCACTCGGCACTAGTTCTCTTCAAAACAGTAGACCAGTGACTACCAATTTTCTTCTCCTGATAACAGTAACACACTAGTTCTCTTCAAAACAGTAGACCACCGGTTTTCTTCTCCTGAGAACAGTAGTGCACCAGTTCTCTTCAAAACAGTAGACCACCGGTTTCCTTCTCCTGAGAACAGTAGTGCAGACCAAGGATTTCCTTGGCTCACATCTAAGTAAACTACCTCTTCTATCATACTAGAAGACGTTTGGGACTGTTTCTTGGATTACTTGGGATGGCAAAAACACTAATATTTCTTTACAATTTTACAGTATTTGGTATTGTGGCAGTGTTTTCGGTAATATCTAGTGAATTTTTATACCGATAAAAATATGTTTTATCTAGATAAACAGATAACTTTTTTAACGAATTATCGGAGATAATTATCGGTTACAATTATCGGAGTGGATAGCCTAGTCATTTCCATCATCACCCCAGGTCAAGATTCATACGAGATTGCAAGCTAGACTCATCGCACAAAATTTGTAAATAAATGAGAAAACAGAAAAAGTTCAACTTAAAAGTTGAGGGACACAATAATTAGGAACTTAACGTGTATTATATACACTTAACGTGTATTTTATCACTTGTTTATAGCGTGAAAACTTCGACGTAACACGCAGGAGATTCGGCGAGATTTTTGCGAGTTTCCTATAAATCTCATCACAGACTCACGATATTGTGAGTTTAAGTGCGAGTCTAAGGCGTGCTTTTTTCAGCATTATAGGTGACCTAGTGGTTAGAGCACCCACCCTCTGCGCAGAAGGTCAAAGGTTCAGGGTTCGAATCACAGTGTCACCTAGTTTATGGAGTAGCTAAGGATCCATCGAATCTATATGATCTCCCCGATTGATTCAGCCGTAACCAGCGGATGCTCATTGAAAGTTGATGTGCGCGTGACTACCAGTTACAATTTAAAATCAATTACAACCTTGAAAAAACACGTACTGTACTACGCACGTTACACAAGCTAACTAGATACCCATTTGATTGACGATGTCAACCCTTCCAGGTCGTTGCTCTGCGAAGCAAAGCAACAATTTCGTTGACGGATGTTACTCGTCTAAATTTCTTCGAAGTAGCCGCGCGCTGCTTTCTTCTCGAAATGTTGGCCCGATGGCAAGTGCTACGAAGTAGCGCGCACCGGACCAGACCATTAAAAATGGCAAACGATTTCGTCATGCGAAGCAACTGCAAGAATGCGAAGCAAGAATGCTAGTTCATAGTTTGCCCGGCAGGTCAAATGTCAAAACGGTAAAGTCCTCCTGTTATACCTTCTGTATTAATTTTTTAATACTTTCAACACTACTATATAACAAATAATTTGAGGACCCCTAGTGGGAATTAACACCTCAATCAAATGTAGCAACCATTACAGGTTGTATGTCGATGTAAATGGTTGTTGCATGATAGTTTATTTAAAGACATCCTAAAGACTATCAGACATCGTTTTTAAGAGCTGTTAACTCCCATCTATAACCTATCACCCATCTATCACCTAAAGAATATCAGACACCACTCATTCCCATCTTCTGAATTGCTGCAAAGGTACTGTAATCAACAACTAAATAACTATAAACAGTAGCATCGGTTTTAGACTCTATCCTGAATTCTTTGCATTATTGTGTTTATTTGAACTATGTCCGGTATCCCAATCAGAAATTACAGCCTTCGTGACAGACCTAACAGTGCAAAAGCAAAATGTTCTACCTGTGTATCACTAAGTCTTGAAAACGACAATTTGAGGAGACAAATTGCTCGTCTAACCAAACTTACCCAAGGCTCAGGCCATGACAAAATTGCGGTTCCATTCTCTTGCGGGGACAATGTTCTTATCTCTGAACATGAATCAGAAACTCAAAACTGTGAAGTTAGCAGTGTGACTGAACTTAATAGCAACCCATCTCTTGTGAATTCTTCTGATGTTAACAAACAATCTTCAACCAGTGTTAACGTTGTGGGTAAGTCCATCAATCCATATCATGATTTGAGTCGAGGTGTATTCAGGTTTGTTGATACTCTCAAGTTGGATATGGAAACACAATACACACAAACGTTCAACAATAGGGCTGTAGCATACTATGGGGATTTCCCATATGCCTACAATGGAGGCTTCCATAACACAAGGCCGTTAAATGACAATCCCTTATTAAAGTCTATTTTAGAACGTTTACGCTCACAGTTCCCAAGTCTGAAATTTAACAGCGCCATGATCACCAAGTACGAAAATGGCAAGCAAGGAATACCATTCCATTCAGATGATGAGAGGTCCATATCACCAGGCTCCATGATTTCCACCATATCGTTAGGAGCAACAAGAGTCCTCAGTTTTAGGTCTAAAAGCAAAGTCCACGTTGCCAATCTTACTCTCTCCCATGGCGACATAATGATTATGACCAGAAAATCTCAGGACAGCTTTGAACACAGCCTTATTCAGGACCATACTGATGACATGAGAATTAGCATTACTCTGCGCCAGATTGATGGCAGTGCAACCTTGTCTGCTCCACCCGATACCTCAAGTAAGCCTTTCGTTACTGTAAGAGAAACTGAACCCTCAATCAAAGGGAAATCATCACCCAACAAAATCACTCATAAGAGCACCGTACCCCCTGCTTCAGTCAAAAGCAAATCCCTTGCTGTGTATGTTAGCTCAAGCATGTTCTCCAAGTTAGATGCTACAAAACTATCCTCTGCTCATCAAGAAGCACATGTATTTCACTATCCTGGTGGCATTGCAAACGGTATCAATGAACGCTTCCACTCAGATGAAAGAAAGAGGTCAATTGATGCAAATAATGTGAAGACCATCGTACTCATGTGTGGAACTAATGATGTGGACTTAATCCTAGAGAGTCCTCGACACATGAGGAATAGATTATTGTCACCCGATGAGTTCACAGGAAAAGCAAAGGCCCTTGATAACACCAATCGCTCTATTGATAATCTGATCCAGTCACTTCACTTGTGGGCTCCAGCTGCAAAAATTAAGATCATAAACATTTTACCAAGAGAAAGTTTTGCTAGAAATAAAGTGATAAATGACATCAATATCTTTTTATCTAAGATTCCTTCCAAATACTCGTTTGTTAGCTTTATACCCACAGAGATGAATCGATTTTTGTTTAGTGATAGATCTGGATTTAGGAAATCATCTTGTTTTAGTAGATTTGGGGAAGACAATGTGCATCTAAACAGCGATGGTATCTTTAAACTAGCAAAGCACATCAAGTACCATGCCCACCATTGAAATCGACATGACATTTCCACCTGAATATTTATTTTGATTTCAAGTTTAAAACTTTTCTATTGAAAATATTTACAGGCGGATAATTTTCACCTGATTTTAGTTTAATCAGACACAACGACTAACACGTTTTGTGAAATGACAAATATTCACAACTCAGCTGACAAATTTCATAACCTTTGCATTGGTCACTGTAACATTCAAGGTGGTCTCCTAAATTTAGCTAAAAGTAATGAACTTACTCAACTCATTCGAGATCATAAGCTAGACATACTTTCCCTAAATGAGATGAATC